TTCAGCCAAAAGGGCCTGCTTGTTTACCAGCCACACAGGGTGCACTTCTGCAAACTTTAGGGCTTCTGTTCTCCCTGTTGCTTTTGCAGAATGCTCTTCCCCCAACAGCCACTTCCCCACTTTTTTCAAGTCTCTGCTCAGCTCTCATCTTCCTAGATCACTCTAATACTGCCATTTACCTTTCATCCCCCGACTTGGAATTTCCCTTACCATTCTCCACTTGCTGTTTTAGGAGCACTTATCACCTTCTTACACCCTAGATCATCTACTTACCTACTGTGCTGCATGCCTATGCCCTACCATGGCATTTTGATCACCAGGTTAAAAACAGCAGTTCTCAAATTCCATGCCCTCTACCATCAGCATCACCTAGGAACTTGCTAGAAATGCAAGATTTGGGATCCACGTTGTGACACAGTGGGTTAAACCACGATCTGCAATGCCAATATCCCATGTGAGCACTCGTTTAAATCCTTGCTGCTCCACTTCTGATCCAGCTCCCTGCCAGTACCTGAGAAAGTAGCAGAAAATGGCCCAAGTACTTGGGCCCCTGCCACCCACATGGGAGACCTGGATGGAGTTCCAGGGTCCCGGGCTCAGTCTGGCCCAGCCCCATCTGTTATGGCCATTTGGGGAGTGAATCAGCAGATGGAAGGTCGATACCCCTCTCCCCAACACCCATCTGTAACTCTGCCTTTCAAAAATAAATCTTTCTAAAAAAGAAAGGAATGCAAAGTTTTCAGGCCCCATCCTAGATCTAATGAGTCAAAAACTCTGGAGGTAGGATCTAGCAATCTACAGCACTGCCACTTTGATGCGCACTCTAGTTTTAGAATCACTAAGCTGGGGCAATGCCTGGCACACAAAGCACTCAACAAATAACATGTTGAATACAATTTAAAACTGTCCTTTCCTGATAATTTTTCCTCCACCCAACAGAGGACACCCAACAGTGGTACAATGCGATACCATGACTGGCCTAGAGTGAGTGCCTGACTCAAACTGGAGGTTCTAAAATTGCCCTGCAAACATGATGAACTCTTAGCCAAAGTCTGGTTCTGATGTCAAGATGGATGATATTCTATGCACCTAGAGGACTGGAGAGGCTGGTAATTAAGGGCTTGAGGTAGGACTGGAACAAGCCCATAACAGAAAGGAAGTTTAAATTTCCTGCCTGCACCAAAGGAGAAAGCTGAGTTCATAGACCTCCCTGTCAGTCTAACTGATGGAAAGCAAAAGAAAACAGAGCAATGAAGCTTAAAAAGTCAGTGATCAAATATCAAAAATGAGGTCAGTCTCTATCACACAGGGGATGGAGGGGTGTTCGGATTCTCTTTCCCAGGAATTTGAAATCAAGGTTAGGAGCCAGTTATTTGGTCTCTCTTTGTAGCTGAAATTAAGGAATATGCAAAAATTCAAAGAGTTTCCATTTTTCTCCAAATATGGAGAAGTAAAGAAATCCAATCTTCAGAGAGCGTAAAGGAAAGCAGACTATAGAGGGAACCAAAGTGCCAGACCTAGAACTGTGTGGACTCACAGGGCCTTCCCAAAGCCTGGCTGCACTACCCACCAAGCCAACAAGCTTCCCTTCCTTGTAATCAAGGTCTTAATCAAAACCATAAGTCAAAACTATTCACAAGTTATTGTTGTGGCAATGAGGTTGATTTAAAAGAAGACATTTCAAAGGAAAAAGAGATGATGGCTATCACAGAACTGGGCACAAAGTAGACACTGAATAAACAGTTCATCAATAAACAGATGGGTAGACAGAGTAGTAATATTCAGTTGGTGGATGACAGGGAAAAGGAGAGTTGAACCTTCTTAAAAGAGAGGATGACTTTCTTTAACCCATAATTCTATTTGTTAAAAATGTGAAGTTATACACTAAAGACAAAACTTTAGTAATCAAAGAGTTTTAATGACTTAATAAATAAAGTAGGAAAAATGTATGAACTTCATTTCCCTTTCTCCTGCCAGCATTGTTACTGCTCACAAGGTTTCATGTTCTAGGATGGGTGTCTGGCACACCAGTTAAGACACTCCCTGGGCACCTACATCCCAAATCAGAGTGCTGGGTTCAAGCCTTGACTTTTCCCTTGATTCCAGCTTCCTGCTAATATGCATCCTGGGAGGCACTGAGTAATAGCTCAAGTAGTTAGATCCCTGTCATCATCCCCGTGGAAGACCTAGATTGAATTCCAGACTCCTGGCTGCAGCCTGGCCCAGCCCCAGCTGCTGTGGGCATTTGCAGAGTGAACCAGCAGACAGAAGATCTCTTTTTTCCTCTCTCTCTCTCTGCTTTCAAACAAATAATTTTTTTCAAAAGCATCCATGTTGCAACATGAAACTATTGCTAATGCTGATCTTGAAGACCTGCTGACCAACACTAATCCATAATAAAAAGAAAACTGATAGAAGTGAAAGTAGTAAAGATGAAGATGAAGGAAGCTAGGCTCTAAAAGAACAGGCACATTTCCTTATCTCAACGAGTCATCATGTCCGCCCAGTGCCTGATTTGGTAGTTCAATAATCCAGTATAACATGAGGTCTTATGTCCATTTGGCAAATAGAGAAAATGAGGCCAAACAACTTGCCTAAAATCATAATCTCTAATGTTGGGATCAGAATCCTGCTCATAGATTTCTAGTATCCTATATTACATTTTCTATTCATTTCCAACTTAAAGGGGAAGAATCAAGAGAAATGAAGCCAAAAAAAGAGTGGGAAATATCCACAAGAGAAACCCACATGTAAGTTAAAAAGGTTTCTCAAAGAAGTTTCTTGACAGAATAAATTGACAGCTTTCTACAGTAAGAAAAAAAAACCTAGTAAAGATTCACCTGACTTTATTAACATACTCGAGGAAATGAACAACCTAAAATTCCCAAAGCTGAGTCAATCACTTAATGAAGTATCTCCATACTTTACTATAAAATATTTATGATAACATGTTTTAAGGAACACAACTTCTAGAAACTAAAACTAACCACTCTCATGAAAATCAGACTGCAGTTCCAATGAGAGAAGCATATTAACTTGCTAGAATATAAAAGCTTAAACTTAAGTTTTAAATTAAGGAGGTTTAATAAGTGAGAAAGTTTTTGCTTTAGAGCACTTAAAAGTATGAGAGAGTGCTCATAAACTGTCATAAGTGAACCACAAAACTGCAAATATAGCACCAATAAAGAAACACAGGTCATTACTTCATGATACTTCTCATTATCCCAGCAGATAGCTTGGACTTAGTTTTATTAACTTTCAGTGAAAGTTCTGCCAAAAGGAACCCAAGAGTCAAAGCACTCCCTGGGGGGAAATTGGGCCTTGATGAAATATTCAGTTCCTCACAATAACTCCATCATGGCAAATTGGGGGACTATATTAGATTCTGAAGAAATCAAAATATCAAAAAACCATGAGCAATATGGCATGCTAAACCAATGCTAGACAAATCCTAGCAATTCTTTCAATTTAATATTCTTTGAAAAATATGACAATACAAAATGCTACTGAAATCTAGCTTATAATACTAATCAATTAGTAAGAGAAAAAATATCAGAAATATGATAAAATTTATAATAGCCATCAGCTCTACAGCCAACAAGAGGCTTAAAATTAGATGTTTTGAGAGCTAGGTCAATGAGTCACTCCTTCTAGTGTCCTCTTCACTGGTAACATAGTTCAAGTCAGACAACCACTATCTCAGCAAAAACATAATTCATGAGTGCATCCACAATTAAAAACACTAATACTACTTACTCAGTGCATATTGTGTGGTAAGTGCTGTTCTGGTTAAACATAGGCTATTTATAATTCCATTTAACACTCTAAATATTACTAGGAAGTAGTTACTATTATTATTCCCACTTCACAGATGAGAATTACTTTCCTAGAATCACATGGCCATGGTGAGGAGATGGGATTTGAAATCAGTTCTGTCTCTACTGATCCAGAAATTTTAATTCTATGAATTTATCCTTAAAAAAGTAGTCATAGATGCAAGTAAATATTTATGTACAACAATGTTCATCATAGCTTTAATTATAATAGCAAAGGACAAGAAAGCAATAGAGAATTATTAAACTATTATATAGCCAAGAGATTCAATGCCATGGGTTCATTTAAAATTATATTTTGGAAGAATACTTAATGTGATGGGAAAATATATATTAAGTGAAAATTGGGTTAAAATAATATATACGTGAGCCCAGCACTGTGGTACAGTAGGTTAATCCTCCACCTGTGGCGCCGGCATCCCATATGGGCACTGGTTTTAGTCCCAGCTGCTCCACTTCTAATCCAGCTCTCTGGTATGGCCTGGGAAAGCAGTAGAAGATGGCCCAAGTCCTTGGGCCCCTACACCCATGTGGGAGACCAGGAAGAAGTGCCTGCCTCCTGGCTTTGGATTGGCACAGCTTCAGCCATTGTAGCCATTTGGGGAGTGAACCAACGGAAGGATGACCTTTCTCTCTGTCTCTTCCTCTGACTGTCTGTAACTCTACCTCTCAAATAAACAAAATCTTTAAATATATATATATATATACTATGATTAAATTATGTCATGAATAAATCCACATGCATATATGTGTACATGTGTATTTATAGGTATGTTTAGATATAAAGCACTTGTGTATATAGATAGGCAGATAGACATACAGAAATGAAAAGATACCTCTGGATCAAGCTGTTTCAACCTTAGCACTTTTGACAGTTGTTCTGAACAATTCTTTGTTATGGGGGCTGTCTGGTGCACTGTAGGGTGCTCTCAGGCTCCCTAGCTTCTACCCTCTGGATGCCAGTAGCACTCTGCTAGGCTGTGACAACAAAAAAATGTCTCCAGACATTGACAAAATGCTCCAGGGTAAGAACTGCTAGTCTAGATAACAGGGTAACAGATAACATTTATTTTCTTCCATGTGCACTTCAGTAATTTCCACAAATTCTAAAATTAATACATGTTACATTCGTAATGGGGAGAATATTACTGTAAAAAATAAACTCACTAATAATAGAAGGAATGATTCATATTTCATGAGACTGAGCTGCAATAAAGGAAGGAAAACATGTGTTACAGGAGCTTAGAATATCGGCTGTGATCTTTTTTCTATCAGAAATTACTTAGTAACTGCTTAACAGGAAAAAAAAATACACAACGGAAAAAATCCACAGAAATCTCTTCTACCTGTGTCAGGAACATGCGAGCAGTAACAGCAGAGAGAGGTGGATAAACCAAAATTGGTTTCGTTGTCTCCCCAATAGCATCACCGACAAGCTTCCCATTAGAAGAATAAGCAGCAACTGCAAATATGTATTTTTCATTTGTTTCCAAACCTTTCACTTCAAAAATGCTTCTACCATCAGCTGGTATCTAGTAGCAAAGAACATATTTCAAGATATACATGGGAAATTCAAATAATGTGACTTTTACAACATAATTAAGTAAACGTTATAGTAAAAACTAAAAACCTTTTTCTTTATTGGATTTCATTTATGACTAAAACTGAAATTAGGGAAGATGCACTGAAATAATGATTTCATAAGAAAAGAAAGTCTCTTAATTTTCATTAATGAGATTTTGGCAAGATTTTCTGACACTTAATTCAACATACCGCTTCTCCAGAGTTTGGGAGATGGTTATTGTTTAGCCTCACTTTTCCATAGCTTCCTTCTGCTTTGCAACCCAAAATGCAGTACCAGGAGACCTGCCAAGGAGAGACATAAGCCTATCACCTGAAGTCTGTTTAAAGACATTCAATTTCTTTCATCTCAGTGCAGCAAAAGGAAACATTTTCTAAAGAAAAATGTAACTATCCATTTTAAACAAAAATCTAAGTTTAAAAATATACTTAGTATCAGAAAAGTAAAGACAAATAAAGGGCTAATTTACCTCCGACTATCAGAATGAAAATATGATTCATTATGAGTTATTTCAACAACCATTACTTGAGCAGTTCCTACGTGCGAAGTGTTGTTAGCAACCTGACATACACTTTCCAATATTCACATCATGTCTACAGAGATGTGACTGCTATTGTTATGGGAAATGGAGATGCAGAGATGCTAAATAGCTTTGTCCAAAACAGTAGTTGACTCAAAACTCCAATCCAGGAGTTGGCAATCTTTATTACAAAAAACCAACACTGAAATTATTTTCATATTTTATATGACCAAAGAAGCAAGATGCTAATTGTAGAATCTAAAATAAAATGCCAAGATACATGTGAAAAAGCCTGGAGGAAGATACCTCTAAACAAGAAGAGTTGTAGGATTGGGTGGTAAAATGTTAAGATGATAGGTAATATTTTTCTCCAGTTTATAAATTTTCTCAAACATGATAATACTTTGATAAATTTCAAATACAGGCATAACGCAAACACAAAATGCAAATGTAACTAGACTTAGATTTGATTACGTAGTGAGGCAATGGTCCTTCTGCCAAGATGCCAAAATAATGGAGAAACGTTATTGGAATGGAGCATTCTCACTGTTCTCACTGTAGGGAAAAGGAGGGGGGGGAGTTAATATCTTAAAGAGTAGTGTTATGAATGAGCCACACTGTGGGGTTCTGGGGATCATCACTATGGTATTCCCTTTTTCCCAGAGGTAACCCCTAAACTACAAGGGAATCTGCAGAGGAGAAAAGTGGTTGTCTTTAAGAAGCAATTGCCTCTTGGCCGGCGCCGCGGCTCACTAGGCTAATCCTCCGCCTAGCGGCGCCGGCACACCGGGTTCTAGTCCCGGTCGGGGCGCTGGATTCTGTCCCGGTTGCCCCTCTTCCAGGCCAGCCCTCTGCTGTGGCCAGGGAGTGCAGTGGAGGATGGCCCAGGTGCTTGGGCCCTGCACCCCATGGGAGACCAGGAAAAGCACCTGGCTCCTGGCTCCTGCCATTGGATCAGCGCGGTGCGCCGGCCGCGGCGGCCATTGGAGGGTGAACCAACGGCAAAGGAAGACCTTTCTCTCTGTCTCTCTCTCTCACTGTCCACTCTGCCTGTCAAAAAAAAAAAAAAAAAAAAAAAAAGAAGCAATTTCCTCTTAACAGCTTCTGCCTGCTGTTACTTCCTCCAGGTCAACAGAAAAATCCTAATGTTTGGGGCCAGCACTGTGCCATAGCGGGTAGAGCCACTGCCTGCAGTGCTGGTATCCCATGTGGGCACTGGTTCAAGCCCTGACTGCTCCACTTCCAATCCAGCTCTCTGCTATGGCCTAGGAAAGCAGGGACAGATGGCCCAAGCGCTTGGGCCCCTGTACCCATGTGGGAGACCTTTCTTTCTCTCTCTCTTTCTCTCTCTCTCTCCCCCTTTTTCTCTCTTTCTGCCTCCGCCTCTCTGTAACTCCAGCCTTCAAATAAATAAATAAATCTTTTAAAAAAATCCTAACGTACACGAGAGGTTCTCTACTCTGTGCCAGAATCACTTTTTCAAAACATAATTTGCACAGAAACAACCATTTTCTTAAATTGCAGATCTGCAAGCCTGCCTAACTTCAACGAATCAGAATTTCTGGGGCAAGTGTCTGAACCTTTGTATTTCCAAAAAAAATGTCCCAGATGCTTGTGATATGCACACTTGATTAAAGAGCACTAGTCAAAGGACAGAGAGAACACTGAAAGATCCCAGAAGCTAGAGGCCAGAGGGAAAAATCAGATGAATCTCACAAAAAGAAAAAAAAAAAAAACTAAAAATTAACTTCCCTTGATATCCCATGCAAAAGAAATACCATTTTTCATAGGGGGCAGAAGGGAAGGAAAGATGGTGTTATATGATTTAGATCATTAGCGCTGTAAATTCTACTATAGAAACCAGAATTTAGATTATAAAACTGTGCCTAACAGCATTTCTACAAGCAGACTCTTTATTTTTATTTTGTTCCACAGATGGAAACATATTAATTTGTATAACTCTGAAGCAACGTTTAATTAGAACCTATGTAGGAGTTTAAGCATCAGGAATAGATCATCATTAACTTTAGAAGTAACAATTTATAGATAATGTTCATAATATCAGCGTTTTAAACTATAAAAACAGATTTTCATGAAATGAATGCCTTAAGAAGAGATTTTGGTAAAACAAAAGATGGCTGAAGCCTCAAACCAGTAAACTTCTTTAAGCTTATGGCACCATCTAGTGCTGATGACTAGGTAACAGTAGGCAATAATTTCCTGGAACAACTTCATGCAATGAGTTAATTGACAAGTCCTAAAACTACAAGTCAAATATGAGGCTTTCGTGTCTTCTTCTTTCCAAGCCTAATTGAATAAAATAAATTAGTCACTAAATTGGAACATATTATTAAAATCATTTTTGTTTAAACGTCAAAATATTTGAATGAAAACAAAAACTCTTAGTAATATCATCCATTCTTATTCTGTATTAATTTTCCCAGAATCAGCAAAGCCCTATAATTTAACAGATTCAAAAAATCAATGTTCAACTTTGAAACTGCTAGCAACAGCAGTAGTCATTTTACTATAGTATAGTTTGGTATAAGATAAATGTTTACTTCTATTTCCCCCCACTATACAGCATTGTAAAAGTGGTATTACTGGGGGCCGGCGCTGTGGCACAGCGGGTTAAATCCCCAGCCTATAGCGCCGGTATCCCATATGGCCACCGGTTCAAATCCCAGCTACTCCTCTTCTGATCCAGCTCTCTGCTATGGCCTGGGAAAGCAGTAGAAGATGGCCCAAGTTCTTGGGCCCCTGCATCCACACGAGAGACCCAGAAGAAGCTCCTGGCTTCAGATCAGCTCAGCTCTGACCACTGCAGTCATTTGAGAAGTGAAACAACAGAATAGAAGACCTCCCCCTCTCTCTCTCTCTCTCTCTCTCTCTCTCGCTCCACTGCTCTCTGTAACTCTTTCAAATAAATAAAATAATTTTTTTAAAAAGTGGTATTACTTCTCATTGATATCCAACTGTCATCAACCTAAAACTCTTTGATTAATGAAACTATGTTTCGTTCACGTACATCTAGATTTCAATTATCTCACACAGAGCTTGAAAGATTATAGATTAACAGCTGGGTGGGATTTATTTTTTTTTAAATCGTCAAATAAAATAATCAGTCTGTAACTTCATGAATGGCTTTTTTTTAATCATCAATTGTCTTTAAATAAATCTTACTACATATGTTTACTATGAAGGGTAGAAAAATCTAAGAATAGTTTTTTCCACAAAGTACATTTTCCATTAATTTTTGAAACTGTCTCATAAAAGTTAGTCAATGTTAATCCATCTTTCCCACCTCTTCCTCCCCCATACTCTCCCTAGACTCTGGGGACCACCATGCTACTCTCAACTTCTATGAAATCAACATTTTTAGATTCCACATGTAAGTGATATTATGTGGTACTTGTCTTTCTGTGCCTTGCTTATTTCACTTAAAATTATGACCTCCAGTTCCATCTATACTGTTGCAAATGACAAGATTTCATCTTTTTTTAATGACTGTCTCATTGTGTATATGCATCACATTTTATTTATCTGCTCATTTGTTGATAGATGCTTAAGTTGTTTTCATTTCTTGGCTACTATAAATAATACTGCAATGCACATGGGAGTGCAGTTAGGTGTCTCTTCAACAGACCAGTTTCCTTTAGATAAATACCCAGTCAGGGGGTCACTGGGTCACATGGCAGTTCTGCTTTTCATTTTTTGAAGACCCTCCACCCTGGTTTCCACCATGGCTATACTAATTTACATTCCCACCATGTAGGGAAGAAAAACCATTTCTCCATCTCCTCACTGGCACTTGTTATCTTTTGTCGTTAATAGCATATCTAATTGGAGTAAAGTGATATTTCATTGTGGTTTTGATTTGCATTTCTCTAATGATTAGTGATGTCGAGCACTTTTTTATGTACCTGTTGGCCACTTGTATGTCTTCCTTTGAAAAAGTCTGTTAGATCTACTGCCCATTTTTAATTGGATTATTTGTAAAACTTTATTTTTTATACAACATCAAAGAGCATGTTGCTGATAATCCAGAAAAGCAAAATGTAATATTTGAAATATAAATTAAGGGAATCTAAAGCCTTGTTAAGAAACAAACTGTTTTCTCTCTCTCTCTCTCTCTCTCTCTCTCTCTGCCTCTCTTCTCTCTGTGTAACTCTGACTTTCAAATAAATAAATCTTAAAAAAAAAAAAAGAGGCAGGCCAGTGCTGTGGTGCAGCGGGTTAACCACCTGGCCTGAAGCACTGGCTTCCCATATGGGCACTAGTTCGGACCCAGTTGCTCCACTTCCGATCCAGCTCTCTGCTTTGTCCTGGGAAAGCAGCAGAGGATGGCCCAAGTCCTTGGGCCCCTGCCCCCACGTGGGAGACCTGGAAGAAGCTCCTGGCTCCTGGCTTTGGACTGGCACAGCTCTGGCCGTTGCAGCCAATTGGGGAGTGAACCAGCAGATGGAAGACCTCTCTCTCTCTGCCTCTTCTCTCTGTGTAACTCTGACTTTCAAATAAATAAATAAATCTTTAAAGAAAAAGAAAAGAAGAAAAAAACTAACTGTAAAGTTTCAGTCACATTTAGGACCACTTCTAAGGCATTAGTTATGGGAGAAAAATTCATCCTTTAATAAATGCATAGAGTGATGATTTATAATATGGTTGGAACTACTATTTGTTTTCATTAAATGAATCCCTATTACTTGGAAGACGTTTAGACAGAACCTCCAAATTTTCACTCTGCTGCCTCACGTCCACTGCTAGCTCCGAGAATAAATTTTCCCCTTTTCAAATGTCTGACTTCACTTCAATGTGACCTCCCTCTCAAAGCTCTAGGAGATTGGCAAATGACTATGTCATAGTGACACAAACACAAATGCTTCTCCATGTTTTCTCCTTACCATAAATCTGGATATAGAATAGCTATCCAAAGCATGCCACCAATAGAATAAAGGGGAAATATCATGATAACTAAGCACAGATGAGATATTAGAATATGATTCCAGGGTTCTGTACTTATAAATAAGATTATTTGGCTCCTGAAAGCAATGAAAGTGTAAATCATTAAAGCCCCCAGAGGACTTCTGTCACTGCATGAGACAGAAACCATAGCAGACATCATACCTTAACATCAGAAATAAATGGAGCAGGTTTGAGTGTCACAGAACAATGAGTTCGGGATAGCAGGATAGGTGGAGGAGGAACTCTGCTTTTCTTTCTTTTTGAACTTTTCAAATAGTCTTGATATGAATATAGGGCATTTTGTTCTGCTTCAATCTTCTCAATTAAAGAATAGGCTTCCTATAATGAAGTGTGAAAATAGAAAAATACATTTCAAGAGCTTGAACTTCATTTATATTTGCAGAATTCTGTGAAGTTAGACAACATTGTCTTTCTATGTGCAGTTATTTAAGCCTCAGAGGTACATACATACTCATATACACTTCAATCATTGAGTGATTCTGCAGAATTCTCAAATGGCTACTAATAAAGGGTAAGCATGACCACTGATGGTGCCATATTTACATGTCTGAAATGTTTACATAATTACTATCACACATTAATATGAGACTTTTTGTTTTAAATCAAATCCTTTGAATATCTGCCATCATGTTGCTTTGTCCTTAAAAAGTTCACACTGATGAACTGTACAGCCTGAGATGTGACTCTTGAGAAATGATGCTATTGGTGTATGTGGCCTATGAAATGAATGTTACTAAGAGTTTTTACTAACAGCAAGATGAAATAAATAGACAAAACACTTATTCCGCAAACATTAAGGAAAGGTAATCACCTTTTTTAATAGTTAAACAGAGAGACAACACATGAAACAAAGAAGAAAAATAAAAATCAGATCTAAGTAATGTTTCAAAACTTAGGTGAAATATTTTGGGAATAATATGCAAGTTTCCTAGCAATACTTAACACATAGGAGCTGCTCAATGAGTTGTAGTCAAAATAATGAATAATGAATAAATAATATGCTAGTCTTGATGGTCCAAGGTAAACCAGCTCTATTGTCTTTACAATTCTATTTGAACTTTGAAAAATTTTAACATTCGTTATTGATTTTTTAAAATACTCAATATATTAGGAAAGCTCTTTCTTTAGTGTCATTAAAAATATTAATTTTAGTTAATAGCCAAAATATTTCAAATAGGTCCAAAATACCACTCTTAGTGTGAAAAAGTAAAGCACTAAAGAATCATCAGTAAAGGAGGGGATTAGGAGCAGCTGTTAAGTCATCCCAGAATGCCCACATTGCATATCAGAGTGCCCAGAGTTCAAGTCCCAGCTCTAGTACAATCCAGCTTCCTGCAATGCACACACTGGGAGGTAGCAGGCATCTGCCCAAGTAGTTAGGTCATTGCCACCCATGTGGGAGACAGGATTGAGTTCTAGGCTTCTGGCTTCAGCCTTTCCCAGCCCTGGCATTTGAAAAGTGAACCAGGAGATAGGCGAAATCTCTCTCCTCTCCCTCTGCCCCCACTCAATCCTCTATGAGTTTGTGTATACTGGGGGGGGGGGGGGGGTCAGGAGGATATCTATCTTTCAAACACATAAATATTTTCTAAAAAAAGAATTATCAATGAAATCAGGAGACAGAACTTCACTATCCCATTTTATTCTGGGAGTTCTACTCAAAACAAATACAAGAGAAGAAACCCTAGAAATGAGAAGACAACATATCTGTCTACCACATTTCAAAGGAATTTTGCTCTGATACAAAAACCTGTACTGTTTCCCCCTCTAGCAGACATATTGAGTTTGAAGTTTCCATTTGGAAATCTTGTCTTCAAGCTCAGAAGAGAGGACAAGACTGGAGAGAGGATCTTAGTAGGTCTCAGCAAGATATTTAAAGCTGAGTGAATAAGCCGGTTCCCTGAAGCCATGTAAATTACAACATTACAGTGTCATAGATTGTTTTCCCTAAAATAATGAAGTGTGGCTTAAATTGAGATTAGAATTCACTTTGCATTTTTATTTGTTATTGGAGACGGTTGACACAAGGTCTAGAATCATTAGTCGTGATTAGAATGTGTCCATGATGATAAATCATTTTTTAATTCCACTTTGTTCTGCACCAGGAGACCCTGGAAAATATTTCTGTATTTGCAAGTCAAAAAGCTTTGCCACCTGTAAGAGCAGTTGTTCCTTCCCATGGGAAGGGATATCTTATATGGTAGCCATGTTTCCAGAGCCTACACACCAAGGGCCTTAGGGACTTTAACCCAAAACTCAATTTATATGCACACGGGAGGTATTCAGTCTATCTGCTGAATTACTAAAAGACCAAGGAGATAGAATGGCATCTGTTCTCTTCTAGCATCTCCAATTTTTCAACCTTTCAATCAAACTGAGAGAACTAAAAAAAGTAGAAAATGGATGGAAACAAAGGTCAGGGCCAGATGTTGAGGAACCTGTGTCATAAAAGACATTCAGAGACCCGGGGCACACACGGTGCTAGTCAGGCCAAGAGGACACAACCAGCCTGGGGCTGGGCAAAGGTTTATTCACCCATCCACACTCTACCATGGACAAGAGGGCAGTGTTGACTCCATGAGAGGACAAACGTACATGCCAGGAGGGTGTCCTTGAAGGGCAAGAGGTGACAGCTTTGATGAAGAGACCGGAGCTAGAAAAAGGTAAGTGGATTTCACAGATAACTGCAGGAAAACTTTGAGGGAAGAAATTCCTCATTGAACAGAAGAGAGATGAAAGCTATTACATTTTGACATTATATATTAATATGCCTTCATTTGCATCACAGACTGTGAAGACCAAGGTATTTCAGGTTACAGAAGAACATGCAAAATCAGTCTAAGCAAAAATTATACAACGCAGGTGAAGAAGACCAATGCTGTGAAAATGCGGAGGTATTTCCTTCCTCTGGATAATATCTGGAGCCTGTAAAGTACACCACCAGCACTGATATTCACATAGAGTATGTTTGTCCCCATCTCAGTTGACTAGCTAACTGCCCTGGGCTTCAAACATCCAGTCCCAAAATTTCCCATGTAGTTCCAGGTAAATGAGCCAGTTGAACACTAGCATCTTCCAACTTGACTCTAGCCTCCTTCTGAACAACCATGAACCCAACTGGAATCAAAACTTTCCTGCTCTCTGTCACAGCCTACCACACATTTCTCAAAGTGGCTGCTCATCAGTATATTCTATGGAGTTTATTTTAAAGTAAGATGGTTTGTTCCGACACTAAAACAAAAAATCTCTCATGGTGGAACAAGAGCTTCTGTGTTATTAACAAATGCCAAGGTGAATTCTAAGTATGGCAAGAACTGGGATCTGCTGATTTAGATGATTAAATCTTTCCCTTTCTCAGCCTCTACTGGCTTCAGCATGCAGTCTTTTTAGCCCTTCCATGGCCATCCCATGCTTGCTAGGTAAAGTGCAAGCTTCTCCACAGACCTCTTCATTCTGACCATGGCCATATTTTCTAGTCTTCTCCTCATTTCCACTCTTTCCCATGCTTACCTTTCTGTCTAACCTAATCTCTGAAACCATAAGAGAAAACTCATTCATTCACTTATAATGCTTTGCTTTTTCATGCCTCTGAGCCTCTGCCCATGCAATTTCCTCCTCCTCAAGGATCATATTTCCTCCTCTCTGCTTTAAGACCCACTCAAATATCATCTCTTCTGATAGCTTCTAAGATAGGCCCATGTACATAGATACTCTATTCTCTACATTTCAGCAGGGATGACCCCATTTGTCACCTGTGTCTATCACTGCCCATACCTTGGAAACAATGAATGTGTTGGTAGCAAGGACAGTCCTTTATTTAGCTCCTTAGGTTCAGTCAACATGTTTTAAATGAAAGCCATACTAAGTTGTAACAAAGGAGAATGGTTTTTATCATAATGCGTTTTAAGGTAATATGTTTAAAATGTCCTGATGGGGTCCTGGTCATTTTTGACTGTAGACTCCTAACTCACATCCCATGTCCCATTTGAAAGAGATTAACAAAAGCATTAAAGACTTAAGTGAAAGGTAACAGAAGAAAAGTCTAAAGTAAAGTCCTTGATTTAGGTAAGTCAGATAGATAACAGAACTCAAGACAAACTTTATTGCTAGATAGAAAGTAGAATCCTAACTTAGTGAGCCACTCAATTATTCATTGAGTTGCTGATAAGATTTAATTTATGAGAAAGTGGTTGGGGATTTATTTGAGGGGTTTTCTCAACTAGAAGAGGAAATGACATTGGAAAAGAAATCCCAAAACATCAAGAAGGAAAAATTCTCATGAAACAAGTCTACCCAATTGTGAGAAAGTGTTCTCAATATGCACTTGATATTGTAACAGCAATGCTCTAGAATATTAAAGCATTGAGATGCAAAATCAGAGGTCAAAAGAAATGTTTTTTCATGAAATGTCAGATAATGAAGAATAACTTCATCCTCACATTTTTCACCATCTAGCACAGTGCCTGTCAAATAAGGGCTCACCACTTTGAAAGAAGAAGCGAGCCTTTACACATCACAGGGAAAGGGCCAGCCAAGAGACCTCTCTGCAACGGGATTTTTAAACCAGCTCATAAGGGAAGTAGGTTCTGAGTGTCCTTGTAGTGGTAATTTGGGCTGCAATATGCCACAAAAAATAGTATTGAAGTTCAAAATATTTTTGTCTAAATATTAATTTCTCTGAAATTGTGCATTGTTGATGAGGATGGATTGATGGTAAGTACACTTGACTTAACACTAATGGAGAAATGTAATGCAATCTCTTGAGGGCACGATTAAGACTTATATAAATACTATCACCAGACCAAAATAATAAAGTGCCATATTGACTATTTATCTAGGAGATCTCCCTGAGGAATAGTCTGGGTTCTGAACATTATGATGTACATTGCAGAAGATGACAAAAAGTAGATAAATTCATATCTCAGAAACGGGAAGGAATATTGCTGAGAATCAAATATATAATTTATAAGACAAATCTAAAAGAAAACATAGAACAATATGTGTAGTCTGATAAATAAAAAATCTAAAGCACTAAAAAATAATATAAACAGAATATTTCAGAGTGCTTAAAGTGAAAGATACAGCAAGAAGATTATTTTTACAATGGCTAACATTTATTGACTGCTTGCTTTGTACCAAACTCTAAGTGTTGAATCCTCCCAAGAACACTCATTTTATAAACAAAGAAGTTAAATCTTAAGAGAGCATTAATAATTTTAGGTCATACAGCTAATTAGTGACAGAACCAGTATGTAATCCCAGGCCCTGAACTCCTAACCACCATGCTATCTTGCCCTCATACAACTCTAAGTTAAAAG